CCCCCCCTACCCCCCCCCCACCCCTGGTGGGGCTGTAAGGGAGAAAGGAAGAGGGTTTTCACCCTCTCCGCCTTCGGCAACCATCCAACACGCCCCCCAAGGTCGGCGGACCCTAAGCAACCCTAGGCCCAGGACCCCGAACAACAACTCCTGAACAGTCCCAAACCCCGTTACACGGCGCTGCTACTACGTACATGCTACTGGAGTAGGGGGCCAGAAATGTCACGACCCTGCCAGGTAGCTGCACCCCAGATATGCGCTGCACCCTCTCCAAGCTTGCAGCTAAGACCACTCAGAGGAGCGCTTACCACTGATGTTCCTTCTCTTGGTTGCTTTCTCTCACCCAGATGTTGCAGGAGAGCCAACTCTGGTGAGGCACGCGGACTTCAGAAATGAGCGATGCATAAAGTCGTGCTGATTTGGAGAACTCTTTCTGTTGACCCTGCGAGTTTCACGTCCAGCGGTAATGCGGCGCAGCATTTTGGGAGCGTCGCCCTTCAGCGGCTGACGTGCCTCGGCTGCCATGAGCGAAGCCAACAAAGACGGCACTGACAACCTCGCTTTGTTAAGCTCTCCTGAAAGCCAGGCCCCGCCAGGCTGCGCCCTCAGCATGTGCAAAGTTCCCGTGCAGCATCTCACAGCTGCAACGCGAATGAATTACATGTAACTATGCTGAATTAGTTGTGCACAGAGCTGCAGACGTGCATCAAGGTCTGCTGTGCATATTTGCTTGTCCTTGCAGGTCTGGACGCATACGCACACGCCAAATCACCCGGCACACGTTTGAAGCTTCAAGGTGCAGAGGTGCGAGTTGCAGCCTGACTGTCATGCTAGCAATCCTGGCAGGCAGCGCCGTCCTGGCTGAATACCGATGTAGCACTGGTCAACAGAGTCCTGCTGTAGGCATTTTCCAGCGAAGCTCGCAGCGGGCGAGCCGCAATTGGATGAACTCCGGTAGATCGACTGCAACAGTTTCCATGACGTTTCATTCCAAGCAAAGGAAACTGTCGACATCCTCTCAGCACTGCTCTTGAGCTTTCATAGCTGTCTGGCTTGCCCATAAGCTTTTGCTTACTGCATGTCAACCTTTTGCGACGCTTCCAGCTCCAGCTTCAAGCAAAAAGGATGTCCTGCAAAGAGGATCATCCTCGGCAGGTACTCAGACTTGCCACAGGGGAGTGTTGGATGGGCGAACATTCACACTAGGATTCCATAATGTTAGAATCAGCAAGGAATTTTGGCAAAGCCATACTGACTCACCAGAGTGTCATGGGCGATGGCCCCTCAAGTTGCAGACCCCAGCAACGGTGAGCCGGGTGACCCGCTGCTGCTATTACGTGACTCGCTTGTGGCTTTTCGCGGCGACTTGGATGACCTCTTCCAAGCCCAGCAAAGGCACAACGTGACTCGCCGGCGGCTGCAGGACCTCTACGTACGGCTTCTCTGGAGCAGTCACCGCACAGAACCAGAAAGCTCAAGTGTGGGCATTGCCGGCATAGGCAAGCTGTCTGATGACTCGCCCAACTCCAAGGGTGCCCGCGCAAAGAGGCACTCGCTTGGTCTTGCAGGCCTCGGTGGCGAAGACGAACTCCGCAATTTAGTGTTGCAGTTCCTGGCTTTGGATGAGCCTCTGGCTTCTGGCAAGTTGACACAGGAAAGCATCCAAGACATTTGGGCAGATGAACTTTCGGGTGCATCAGCACGAGTGTCTGCACTGATCAGAAGAGATGGTATGAGCTCTGACTGCCGTCAATTTGCACTGGTGAAGGATGGTCTCAGGCCAGGATGGATATGGGGTCCTGCATAGGCCTGCATAAACAGCACCATCACAGTTGGACATATGTGTATCCATTAGCGAGATTGACTGCATTGTGGAGGTGGCGAATCACGCAGCAGAAAGACTTGTCTGTTGTGGAGGCCATGACTCAGATAATTTTCCATTTTCTGGTTGAAGCAGAAAGATGTCAACAGATTGGCACTGCCATGTTTGCCTGTTAGGATGCCTTGGCTGCAAAGGCCTGCACTTCATCGTTTCAGAAGTCAGTGTTGGCTTGGCAAGTTGAGCTTAGCAGTTGCCAGCACATCCAGCACGAAGCCTTTTGAGTGCCTCTTTACGGCTCAAGTAGGCAGCCAATCAAAGGTTCTGGCAAGCTGGAGGCCATGTCTGTGGGGCTGCTTCTGACAGCGAATGCAGTACCCTGCGGGTCGTAGCACGGCCAACTAACTTCTCTTGGGGCTTGAAGGGCGACTATGAAGAATGTAAGCATTTGATGTGGCAGCCAGACAATCAAGGCACGCCAAGCGCCAGCATATTGGCTGGGATGTAAGAGCAAAAAAAATGCTGAGTGAAGCGTACCACGTTCCTTTGCAGCAGGTGCGTTCATGCAGGGTCATTTTGTGCGTGGTAACCGCTGGTAGCACTGTTGAATGCAGAAGCTGGTTTGCCGTTCCGAGGATCACAGCGTGCAGGACATGCACTTGTCCTCTACGTACAGGAAGAACCGGAGGCACCAAAGACTGCTGGAAGGCAAGCCTTCATGTTCAGGGTCGCTTGAGAGACCCCTGGCCAGCAAAAGAACACAACTCCTGTTGGGTGCCACCGGTGTTAGGCTGGGTAACCACCAGCTTAAAGGTAAGGAGTAAGAACGTTGTACAGGCAGAAGCAACAGCTTGTGTTGCACCTGCTCATGCTAAATCAGATACTCAAAATCTCGCAAGTGCTCCAAGCGCAGCTACAAGCCCTCATGCAGCGCATCAGCCAAGCAAGGATCTGCCTCTGAACCGTGTGGTGTCACGCTAGGTGCAAGTGTGGCTCTGCAGCATTTGTTGATTGCCTGAGCTGTTCTGCATTGCACCTTTTGTGGCAACGCGCCAGTCCCGCACTGATACTCACTTCCAATTGCGGGTACTGCAGGCGCATCATGCGCCCTTCAAACCTGTTTGGGAGCTGAAGGAAGCGCTGCCGCCGCTGCAACTTGATGTCAAGCATCTGTGACTTATAGGCAGATGACAAATCATTTCTCCTGGAGACTCTCTGTATTTGCGAGGTCAGGGCCATCCAACATGTCACCCTTGTTTTCGCCAGCGTCACCCACTTCTCGTGTGCACCTCGTTTAGCCAGTGCGCACCTGCGCATGGCGGAGACATACATGCTGAGCTAGACGAGGAGACGGCCACAATCCGATGGAATCGACCATTTCCTTCTTACAAGATGCCTCCTGCTAGCATGCTGCAGAGTCAATCATGCACCAATGTGGCCAACAGCTTGTGGACCAGTCACCGAAGCTCAGTCCCTCAAGAATGACTACTGCGGAGAACTTCGCTGGAACACCAAGCACCTTGTTGGCATTGGCTGTGGCTTTGTAATGGTTTCCGTTGTGCTGAAGCCTCTCTTATGCTGCCTCTTGGAGTAAGCCCTCCGTAGTCATCCGAGGGGTGCCGTGATCATTGCAAGCTCCATCTTAGGTGGGCCTTCCAGAGGCGTCCAGATGGGGGATTCTGGATGAGATGACGCAGGCAAGCAAAAGGAGTGAGCGTCCAGGGCGCTTCGACAGTTTAGGGTTAAGGGAGCGCAGGGTCTCGGGGAGAGAGAGTGTTGTTGTGGGCACAGGGCAAAGCCGCAAATCCTAAAGTGCTCGGCCAGGGGGCACCTTTGACATTTCAGATGGTTAGCTTCTACTTTCATGTCCACCCGAATCCACCCCTGTGCAAAGGTCGCTCGAGGAGGCCGATCTGTGGAAGTTGCAGAACCTACGGGTAGTTAGTAAGGAACAAGGGGAAACAATCCCTATGTAACCCTAATTCCCTACTAACCCTCAGTAGGGGAATGTATAGATTGGCAAGGACTCCGTCTCGGACGGCCGAACTTGCCCACACGATAGTGCTTCCACCCCCTCATCAAAACTATCACAACAACATGGTTACCAGCGTAGCTGCAGGGACTGTTTGTTGAGGGAAGGTGTGCGTGTCCCAAAGGGAGATCGACTTAGTCCAACTTAGTGCCTTCGAAAGGCAGCAAGAAAAGGCAGCGTGGCAACTTGCTAGCTGTGTTGATGCCATGCCAGCCTCCGCCCAAACCATTCTCGATGGTTTGGCAAGGTAGACAAGCTGGACGATCTGAAGAAGGCGGAATCATTGGAAGCGCAGAGCTTTCCACATACGGTCTATGCAAGGTGATTGAGTCGTACCCAAGCGAAGGCTGTGCGCCAAAGAAGACGAACATGATAGAACTGATTGCTTCTTGTACCTTTGCTGAGGCCGAGCTTATGCAGATTTGGCAGATTGCTTGGGCTCGCTCCCTGGTGACATGAGGCAAGGTCGTCACAGAAGACTGGTCCCTGTCTGGCGAGGTGAGAACCAGGTCCTGGAGCTGCTTGGCGAAGAGCCTCCTCCCCAGAATTCCTCGTAGCGACCAAAAGTTTCAGATCACTACCGCCCAGGTACAATCGGAAAAGCTTATATGTAAAAGCATTGAAGCTGGACCCTTCGCGCTGCCCTCTGTTCTTCAGGCAGAAGGTGGGTACAGAAAGCTCTTGCCATGGAGGTTAAAGGATGCACAGGAGCACCTTTCCAAGTTGCTTCAGGCCTGTCTAAAAGCTCCGGGAACCAACACCACGCAAAGATCTGATTCTGCAAAACCAGGAGGGAGAGCAGGTTCGGATCCGTGGCAAAGCTCGGGGCTGGGTCTTTCCCAGGGCAAGACGTATCCGCCATGCTGCCGTCATTGCCTCCTTGCCGCTATCTTGCTCAACAGGCTGACCTGAAACAGACTTTGAATGTGAGCAGACTCTTTGACATAGCCCGCACGTGCGGAAGATCATACGATATCAGCAGATTTGTTGTTCCCAACCTTATCCAGAGAAACACGCCATGGCGATGTTTCGGCTTGAAGCTCAGCACAGAAAACAGGGTGAAAAAAGTCTCTGTTGTTCTTTGTTACACAAGGGCATCAACCCAAAGTGTGCTCTACTGAAGGCCATTCCTGGTGGCATGCCTCTTGCAAGCAAGGGCAGCATCCGCAGAGGCCTTTGATGTGCCAACCTGTGCCTAGCGGCAGTTTGTATGAGCGTTGACTGGAAGGATGGAAGCTGTTCTGCCGACAGCGCGGCGGCAGGACCCACACTCGGGGATTTGTAGAGCGTCACGCGTTGACTCTTTTCGGGCGTTGCACGCAGAACACTGTAGGCTCCTGCATCATAATGCCGCAATCAGTTGAGACCTTGGCGCAAGAGATTGACGGAGTTGCCAAGGACTGACTGCACGTTCCATCATTCCACAGTGTGCAGACCAGAGTGGATGACAGCATCATGGCTGAACGAAGTGCGCCACCGTTGCTGAACCCGCAGGACATGCAGGAGATGTGTCCTTTGTACGACTCCCGCATCACCCCATGGGCGCTCTGGGCGCTTGGGATAATCAAGCGGGCAACAGGTACCATGTCCATGGTGCAGGACTCTCAGCCAAAAGCAGCGAATCAGAAAGTCTCCTGTGCTACAAGTTTTCTGACTTGCTTCATCCGAGGTCTTTGTGGCCATCAGGCAGGGTCATGTTCCTAGCCGGATGACAACCAGGTATGCTCCCATGTTATGTCAGGCGTGCATCCAGAAGACTTCGCGGATGAGAGACCCCACCGCAAATCAGGAAGAAGGTCGGATTTTGCACAAACAATGTCGCATCGTCGCCAGGTACACCGCATCCGTCATGACCATAGTTGGCCGAATCCTCCTGGGTCTGTACAAAACTCGAGATAAGGCACGTTGCATGATGCGCCGCTGATGCGACTTAAATGGAGGATGGCTCCCATGCTTTTGCAGTCATACGTCAACGTTCCGACAGAGATGCTTTATCGCGAAGATGTGCTCGAGGTCTTCAGCTTGGAGCAATGAACGCAAACTTTCTCAGAAATTTGCCGACTTGCACTTCAAAAGGTAGAAAACATCCACGCGCCGCATTACGATGTGGATGGCAATCCCAACTTTTATTGGTTCGAGGCACGCTCAGCGTTGCTTCACCAATTGCTCACGAAGGGTGGGGTGCACACAACTTGAGCCAGGCGATCGTACCAAAGATTGTACTGAGGAGAGCATTACAGCCTGCTTGATTTGGCAACATGCTTAAGCTGACTCTCAACAGTCTTGTCTTGCCTGTAGCTGTAGCTAGTACCACGACCCAGTATCCTTGCCAGGAAGCTATATGTGCCTTTGATGACCTGCTTCTACAGCGCGCTGCGCAAGCTGAATGTTGAGAACAGCAGTATGACAGGACAGGGCTGACAGAAAGCACATCCATGCTGGACTGCGCTGCATACCAAAGGATCGATGAACAAGTCTTTGCTACTTGCAACCCGCAGTCACGAAAACGTCTCAGAACAAGTTCTGCTACCACTGCGCAGCAGCGCTCAAAAAGCTATAAAAAGTTGGGCATGGGTTGCGCAACAAATGTTTAAAGGAAACCATGTTTACACAATTTTTAGAAAACAACACGTCTTGGCTCGGACCCAGCACAGTTTTCCCGCAACGTTTTCCGCAACCGCGGCCGAGGTTTTCCAAACTTCATTTTTGCAGGGGCGAAGTCCACATTTTTCGCAGCGACCTGCAGTTGTTTCTTTTTGCTCCTCATTTGATGTGTTACTGAAATTGAAGAAGAACCTGGGACGATTTCGGAATTGGTATCTTTGCACGGAATGTGAATAGAACCTTGGACCATCTAGGATTTCCGTACAACTCCAGTGAACTCTCACAACCTTCTTTATTAAGTTGAAGTTGCATCTGGGACCACATAGGAGTTCGTGTCGAGCACCAAGATAAAGATACCTAGCCAACCTTAAGTATGCGCTGGAAATTTAGAAGCTAGGGTGGGAAACTGCTTGGGATGTGTTCAATCTCTAGGGGAAAGCGAGTAGTGTTTCATGACCTAAAGATCTGTTAGGCAGGAGCCAGGGAAGCATCTGTGGTCCTATGCAAACATGTAGGAGTCCTTTTACAGCTTCAGAGCTCTGGACCTTCATTCTTCCTGCAGCAGGCGCACTAATTAGCAGCCATGCTGCATGGGTGCGCGTGAGCCCAAACCCATCCGAGAGCATGATATGCAAGTTTGCAAAGCCTTGCAGCACAAGGGTGGCAAGCCTCCGTGTCTGCGCCGCACATGGCGTAGCTGACTTGCCGGTTGACCACCATCATATATGATGACTAACAAACGCAAAGAAGGCTTGTCTCCACACTTTGGATATTTACCAGTGTCCGCATTGGAGGTTAAGCAGTCTAGGGGTTAGGGCTTTGATTTCTAGAGCTTAGGGCTTAGGATTTAGGAGACTATGGCTTAGTGTTTAGGATTGTAGGGTTCTGGGTTCTAGGGTTTACTATTTAGGGTGTAGGGTTCTAGGGCTTCATCGGTCAGGCGTGTAGGCTTTGAGTGTAGGATGTTGTGTTTTGGGGTTCTAGGGTTTTAGGGCTTAGGATTCTAAGGGTTCTTAAACTGCACAAAACTTAATCCGCAACCTTCGACGCTAAAATGTTGGACCCTAAACCCTAGACTCCCAAACCCTAAGCCCTAGAATCCTAAGCCATTCACGCTCCCCCGGCACCGGGGTAACACAATGCTGGGGCTGTTAAGGAGTCTAGGGCCGCCTAGGGTCTGGGGGTTTAGAGTTTAGCATTGTAGGCTTTAGGGTTTAGGATTCTGGGGTTCTAGGCTTTGGGTTTTGGAATTTTAGCGTTTAGGGTTTTGGATTCTAAGGTTCCTAAACCCTATAAAACTAAATGCGCAACCCTTAGCGCTAGAATCCTAAACCTCACCTCTGGCATTTTAAAACACTAAGCACATGGGCCACATTGAAGAAAGAACAGTTCGCAACACGTATTGGCAAAACTTCTCTGTCCACTATTTGCGCTTGCTGCGGTGTAGATGATCCCTCAATGCCGGGAGCAAAACCATTGCATGATTCCATGATAATTAGCACCATCTCAACATGCTTCGAAGCCACATGCTCACTTGTCCATCCGGACACATGCAGCGACATGGCTGGTGCCAAGGATCCCACAAGCAAGCTGCACAAAGCCTGGGGCCACCTTTTACGATGCGGCAGCAGGAAGCATATTTGGTGGAACACCGCAACAACCTCCTGCAAATTGTGCAGCGAGAATGGGCTTTGTCCGCTACACGTGGTGTGGCTCCAACTGCCCCGGGCCTAAAGCCGAAGCCGAATCCAACACCATCGCTGAACCTACTCCAAAGCCAACAGCATGTGCTGAGACTTCACCCAAATCCTCCTCGGGGCAGGAGTTCAAGTCACACATCAAGGTCAAGAGCACGGTGTCAGTGTACCGGAACTTCACTTTCTAATCATGCGACATCGTGGAAGGTGCCGGCGCCATGCCAATGCATTTGGCCAACTACGGCACCGAAGTTTGCGACAGCTTGATCCCTGTCGCAACTCCATGAACGCATTGCATTTTGTGACTTCCTTCCGTGAAGCTGAAGGGGACTTCGCAGCAAATCCGCAGGCAGTTCCACTTCCCACCTGTGTGCAAGTGTTTCGCCTGAGATTGAGGGCGAACTGAAGCCCAGTCTTGCTTCATGCAGCAGCAAAGGCCCCTACCAGAACAGGCACCATTTGATGCAAACAAGAGCGTGAAAGGCTTGACATTACTCCGTCTGGAATGGTGCTTCGCCATCCCACCCAAAAGCGGAAGATGAAGCTGAACTGAGTTCAGGCCACGAAAACCCTTTGTTTTGCGTCAAGAGCAATATTACACCTCCTCACCCTGCAGGTTTTTTCGCCAAGATCCCCCTCACCTCGGCGACAAGCACAAATCTGGCACGGCGATTTCATTTCCCGCAATCCAGGTGCAGCAATATATCGATGTCCGAAAGAGAGTAGGGAATCATGAAGGAACACACATGTGCAGGTCCCCAAACATCCCTCACGCCAGGGAAGCAAAACGCAGTTATATGCAGTTATAACCGCTACGAGCACGAAAGAGCGTTACAACTAGGAAGGGTACCACAATATGCTGCAGTGGGATTGGGGAATCAAATCTTCGAGTCTTCGTAGGACGCATCATAGCAAGCACACGAGAGACCGCCGCGAAGACCTTTGCTCAGGCGTATCACAAAATCTCATGCTGATCACGCGCACTCAGTACCCCGTACCTTTGCTGTTCAGGATCATTATTTATACTATTTGTTAGACCATTTCTGTGATTACCTTTTTATAGCTGTTTCTAAAGATTGGTACAGTTATCAGTATAATGGTAGTATTAGGATGCTTCCTCATATGTGTGTTGCCGTGTTTTCTTTCATGTCTACCATTGCCTTTGTCATTACTGCTATTACCTGTATGCCTATATGTGTTTTCATTATCATTGTCACCACTGTCACTACTTGTGTTCATATTGTTGTGGCTAATATGGTTATTACATTTCATCTTCTTACTGTCAGTGTTAAAGTTGAAATTTTGATTTCATTACATATTTTTGACCACTATACTACACTGATTATTCTTCCTTTCTTACTGCTGCTGCTGCTGCTGCTGCTCCTCCTCCTACTACTACTGCTACTACTTTCCTTTCCTTTCCGTGGCGCAAGAGTCCAAAGGCTCCCTGGCGTAGTCGGCAAGCGATGGCTTGATCGCTCGGCTACTTTAAGCAGCTACCTCTTTGAGGTCCCAAACCCATGTTCAAACATTGTCGAGCAAAAAGCGAAAGATGCATACGAGTCCGTCCCGAGGGACCAAGCGACCCGCAGGCTGTACAGCAAACCCTGGCCGAGAGCCCTGCAGTTTGCACCCGCATCTTTGCAAATCATTATCAATTCAAATCACACGAAAGCACTGTCTAAAGAGGGAGAAAACATTCATCCAACATTTGTGAGTGACCATGCCGCTGTACAATCACGGCCATTGCCGGCACAGACCCACCTCTATGTTCGCGTCATCAGCCTGGCGCGGGGTCCGCTAACTCAAACGACGCTGAGTGAAGGACTGCTCATGTAGACATCCAGCAGCATTCTTTTCCATCAACTTCCAGCAGCATTCTTTTCCATCAACGCCCCTCATAGAGTCGAAAACCAATTCTGCAGAGCTCAATCTTGTCCGCAGCAGAAAGGAATTCAGGATTCCGCACATGATAGCCAATAATGACTAATCGGTTTCCTAGCCAAGCTTGAGTAGCATGCCTTACGCGTGGGTTGAAGCAAATGAAAGGTCGCACAAGTTGCACTAATCTGCCCAAGCGTCCTTCAACCTCATGCTGGCCAGTTCCATCCTCAAGATAACTCTCCATGCTGAAAGTCTGAGGCAGGTATCAGTGTGTTCTGAACGACTGCGGAGTTGTTCGAGTCCTTATGGGCATTGGACTGGATATTCAAGGAGATCCCGGCTGAAGAGAACCACGCCTGTGGAGCCACGCTTCTAACAACCGACGTTATCAGCAGGGTGACCAACGGAAAACTTCTGGAGTTGTTTAAAATGCCCGCAGAACAACCATGGATATATGCGCCCATGAGAAACGAGCACGATCCATTCATCTCCAAAGAGTGATGAAAGTGTCGCGTGCAGGAAGGCAAGTGCAGCGTGAGAGCCAACAAGTCCTCCTCCCACAGCCAGCGATCATGAAGCGCCTGCTTCGCAATGTGTTCGCTCTCATGCTCAGCCGACATTGACTCCAGTTGCAACCCGTTCGGAATCAGCAGATTGAATCCTCGCCTGGTGATGGGGCTCCTGTCTGGTGATGGCGAATAGCCCTCTAGACTGTCTTCGGACCTCTCATGCGAAGCCTCCTCGGAGAAGTCGTAACCTGGGCATGTGGGCTCCGAGTCCCCCAAAGCATCTGTCTGTGGCGCCGCCATGCCAAGTATTGAGGGAGCCTCCAGCGGTAGAAGTTCCTGCCGCTCCTCCACTTCAACATCAGGTGGCCTCTCCATGTGCGAGAGTAAGTCCAGGATTTGTTCCCTTTGGGAAGCCATATTGAGTAGAATCACAGCTGCCATGAATACAAAGCCGATCCCCTTGGGCTCTCTTATGCTCACATGGGCGCAGCACTCACGACAAAGAAAACTCGCCAGAAGTACTCACCGGTTGCGTCAAGGTTCCACACCTGAGTCCAGGGCATTCGAGGACATGACAGATATGCCGCAGCATCCAACCAGAGACTTGTGTGTTGAGAGCAATGCCTCATTTTTCAGCAAGTCGGTCACTGCATGCACGAATACGGCAGCATTCAACGCTTCGGTGAGCTGCAAGGGGAAAGAAAATTTTGCCACCA